TTCTGTTTAACTGGCAATGTCAGAAATTATTGACCTGAGTCCCCCACAGCTCAACATAACAACATGGCTTTACTTGAGAAAAGTAGTTTTGCAATAAAGAATATATGTATTTACAGTAGGGTTAATAAGATATTAGAAGAAGGTAGGTAAAGAAGAGAGACGAGGGAAGAGTGGGAGAGAGGGAGAAAGAAGGTGTACAAGATCCTAGGATGTGCGAGGAAGCACAAGAGACACATTCTGGCTGTGGCTTGTGGAGGTCCTGCTGCCTTAAGTGTAAGGATTCTGTGGGGGTGGAGTTCTGTGGGGGCTGCTGTGGGATCTGATTTTGGGGGGCTGTCTATCTAAGGACTCTTTCAGCCCTTGTGCCGTCATCTACTGTAAAAGAAGGAGCTGAGGTTCAAGGCTTTGTCATCCTTGAAATCTAAAACCCAAACCAGAAGTAATGCCCCTTCCTAATTCCCAGAAACAAGCCTCTTGTGAAGGCCATCGCTTAGGAAGTCTCTAAATAAAAACCAAAGCATCTTGGTTTGTTCAAACTCAAAGGAAAAAAGTTGGACATGGTGGTGCACATCTGTAGCCCCAGCACTCAGGAGGCTGGGGTAGGAAGATTGCTGCAAGTTTGAGACCAGCTTGGGCTACACAGTTTATATATATAGTTTATAAATAAAAATTATTGTTGAAAAACAAATTTTCTTGGTGCTGCTTTAGAGCTCAAGACAGTTCTTTGCATCCCTCATTGGAGAATTTTCTATAAGACGAAAAGGGACAGGAGCTACTGTGGCAGAAGCATATAGAGAAAATCCTGGCTGAGGTTTTTCTTTTACTTTTCCTTTTACTTCTTCCTTGAGGCATGTCTTGCATAGGGCTTGATTCATTGTTTAAGGGAAAGAGATAGCCGCCTGGTGGCTGCTGGAGGCCTGAGAGCCCATCACAACTCTGACGAGCACGGTCTCTGAACTGAGGCCTTTTCTTGCATTGCAGACAAAGTGTACATGCAGCACATCAACGCACTGGACAGGATCCGAGAAGAGTGGCAGAGCGAGCACGTGAAGGCCTGCGAGGTACCTGGAGCCGCGGGCCTGCTC